TGAGCTGCTCTTGCCGGGCCTGCAGCTGCCTGCGTGGTGCAAGGTCCCCTGGTGTCGCCGGGCGGGGCTTGGCGCTCACTGCCCTCCGTGCCGCAGGCGGCGTGGGGAGCACTCCGATGAGCCCCTCCTCCGACGGCCAGGACGCCTCCACCCCCACCTGGTGCTGCTGACAGCCTTCTCTGTCCCTGTGCTTCTGTGGGAGTAGCTTGTGAACATGTCCCCGGCGGCACTCGCTGGGTCAGAGGGCTGGCCGCTCTCAATGCCGAGCTCCCACCGGGGGCACGAGGCCCAGGCCTCCGCCGCAAGGACGGTGCCACTGGCCCGGCCCACCTTCCCGGTTGGGGCAGGTTGGGCCCTAATCCAACAGCGGGCACCCTTGAGTGGAGCTGTGAGAGGACAGACCAGGGAGAAGCCAGTGATCAGGGGCAGAGGCGCAGCCGGGAGCCTGGACCCCGAGGCTGCGGCACCGCGGGCGTGGAGGTCAGCCGCTCGCAGACCTGAGAAGGGTCTCGGCCCCTCGGGCCAGGGAGCCCACGCTGGCGCCCCGCCTCCTGCCCCCGGAAACCTGCCGCTCCAGGGCGCACGCAGCCCTTCCGCTTGGGAGGTGCCGCTCCGCAGACTTCGGGGAGAGCGGGCGGGGGGGGGGGGGGAACGGGGGGGGGTGGGTGAGGAGGGGCCCAGGGCGGGCACGAGGCTCTCCAGGGCGGGGAAGGAGCCTGCGCCCTGGGTCAGGGCACCGGGCTTTCAGAACTGCTGTCCCGAGCCTCCCTTAGCAGGTGGAGTGAATGGCCCTGGGTTGGGGGGGAGGGGGTCGGAGGGAAGGGCGCCCTCAGGAATGGGGCTGCAGCGACCAGGGACTCGGCCTCACCTGCAGGGCAAGGGGGCAGGTGTGTGGGCCTGGTCAGGGAGGAGTGAGGCAGCTCAGCTGAGGAAGAAGGGGGGTTGTGCAGGGAGCCTGGGGAGGACACACAGCCTCTGACCCCACGGTTCCCCACGCAGCAAGGAGGCCGAGGCCGGGGCGCCGTTTGTGGGAATAACGGAGAGACCGCGTGCACCCTGGCACACGCCCGCCGCCGCCAGGCGGGCTGGGTCCCGGCCCCCTCCCCACCTCACTGACCGGGCAGAGTGACACCCACGCCTGCCTGTGCAAGAAGACATCGCGAGAGAAGATCTCGATGCAGGACTGAGAGTTCACAAATGCCCCAAAGTCCGGTTCTATTTAAGCCAGAAAACTATGCGTTCACCGTCACTCCCCCGAAACCTGTTTAAAACTGAGCACACGGCGCCCCAGGGCAGCATTCGCACAGCCTGTGTCTTCGGAAGACACGGTTTTAAAAATGTCTTAAGGTAACAAGGATAGGACACCAACATGGAGGCCAAAATACTCTGATGTGGGGCCGGTCTGGGGCCAGCTGGCCATCAGGCAAGTGGCCTGTGGATGGTCACCCTGGACCCCGAGCTTTCTTCTCTCTGGTAGGTCCTTCTGGAGGCCCCCCAAGCCTGGCTTCCCTCCCCAGATCCCAAGGTCCTCGTGGCAGGGAGGGCGGGGCCCCTGCTCTTCAGGTGCCCAGGACACCCAGCCCCAGGGAGGCTCGACCTCTGCCTGCCAAGGGCAGCTGGGGTTCCGAGAGGGCGCAGGCCAGGGCACAGACCTAGCCCTGTCCCGGCAGGTGCCCACCAGGGTGGGAGGCAGACCACGCCCATCTCCATCCTGCTTTGGGGCACCCAGGCCAGCACCGATAGGGAGCCGGTGAGTCCCGTTGTTCTCCCCAAAGCCTGGCCTGTTGCATCCCTGCGTTTGCACGGACTGGGCAGAGGGAGGGCGGCTGGCGGGGCCCCCGGTGCAGGGTGCAGGGTGGGGGTGCACGCCTCCCCTCCCGGACTCCGGTGGACTCACATCAAGCAGTGGGGCCTTTGTTCCTGCCGCTCTGAGCGCAAGGCTTTCTTGCTCCCCAGCGGCGCTAATTACACCTCTGCCTGCTCCGCCCCATCCTGGCCTTTGAAGTGGGTGCTGCCCCGCCAGCCTCGTACCCCTGTAATTGCAGCTTCCCTCCAGGCCCTGCTGCTGGTTTTATTGGTTTTTTCACCAGGTTGTTGGGGGAAATGACAGTGCAGCTCCGAGTGGAAGGTAAAACCTATGCTTTTATCGGGCTTAGATTAACGTGGGTTAATCTGTCAAGAATTTTAAGAACAGGCTTTCTGTGGCAAGGATGGGCTTGGCCTGGAGGTGGGAACAGGTGCCCCCGGCCAGCTGGAAATGACGGCCTGGTGGGCCAGGGGGAGGAAGCAGCCTGGTGGCCTTGGCACCGAGGCTGAGGGGTGCGGCCTGCCCTCCACAGGGCGGATGCGCGACGTCCCTTGTCCTGCCTTCGGGACACAGCAGTCACAGAACTAGCACAAAGCAGAATGCCCTGTGGCCGCCCGGCCACTTCGCGTCCGCTCCCTTCTTATAACCAGCTAAGAAAACTAACTTGGGTGATTACACTAATGCAGCTTTTGGTTTTTAGTTACTTATTTTAAAATTTTATTTATTTTAGTTATTTATTTTTGGCCGCGTTGGGTCTTCGTCACTGCGCGTGGGCTTTCTCTAGTTGCGGCGAGCGGGGGCTGCTCTTCGTTGCGGTGCACGGGCTTCTCATTGTGGTGGCTTCTCTTGTTTCGGATCACGGGCTCTAGGTGCACGGGCTTCAGCAGTTGTGGCACATGGGCTCAGGAGTTGTGGCGCACGGGCTTAGTTATTCTGCAGCACGTGGGATCTTCCTGGACCAGGGCTTGAACCCGTGTCCCCTGCATTGGCAGGCAGATTCTTAACCACTGCGCCACCAGGGAAGCCGGCTTTTGGTATTTAAAATAAGCCAAAAGCCTGTTAGTGGGGGAAAAGCAGGGTCGTACTCTCTTCTACCCAACTCCACTCCCCCATCTCACATTTGGTCCCAACGTAATGGGTGGAGCCTTTAGAGATGACCACTCCAGCAGTAAGCATGCTTCTAGAAACAATTACGTGGGGTTGGGAGGGGGGTTGTGGTGTTGGAAATTCAGCATGGCTTCCTCCTCCAGGCAGGCTCCTGGTGACAGCGAGCTGCCTTCCCTCTTTCTGGGATGGGCTTCCCTGGGCCACATTTGCGGCAAACCTGGCTGAGCCCAGGACCTTCAAAGGAAAACTGACAGGGCCTCCTTGAACCCTAAATGTGACATAATGCTGAGCTCTTGGACAGGGTTCGTCTAGTGGAGTCTATAACAGAGAGTCCCTTAGAAGCTCCTGGGGTGTCATCAGAGGGCAGAATAGTGTGGGAAGCAGTAAGTGCGTGCCTAAGGCATGCGGTAACCCACTCAAGGAGCAGAGGTGCCCGCCCCCCGGGGACAGATCCGGCCATCTGGCTCCACGTAGATGGATCACATGGAACTTCCCGACCGCCGCGGTTTCTAGACTTAAATCTTAACGTAGGAGACCCTGTCCCCCTAAAGTGACGTTACATGGAGCTCCAGTCTGTAAGCAGAGTAGGAGCAGAGCTCTGCTTGCAGAGGGGTCAGCGTCGAGGAGCCTCACCTTCTCAGCGCGTCTGCCTCCTTCCCCTGCCCCTCTGCTCTCCCCTCTGCACCCTAGGGTGTGTCCTGAAGATAACCTATGAAGCACTGCCTTAGCTGTAGTCGTCAGGGTTCGCCAGAGAAACTGAAGCAACAGGAGAGAGAGAGAGAGGCTGGTTTTGAGGAGGTGGCTCCGACCTGCAGGGCAGGCTGGCAGGCTGGAGACCCAGGGAAGAGCTGACATTGCAGCTCCAGTCTGAATACAGATTCCGGGCAGAAGTCCTTCCTCCTTGAAAGAACACCAGTCTTTTCCCTGAAGCTCTTAACTGGTTGGAGGAGGCCTTATGGCAGGTAATCTGCTTTATTCAGAATCTACTGATTTACGTGTTCGTCTCATCTAGAAAACCCCTTCACAGCAACAGCGGACATGTCTGACCAAGTATCTGAGTACCGTGGCCCAGTTGACACAAAATCAACCGTCGCGCCAGCGAACTTCAGAGCATCGTTCATTTCCCAAATGGTGCACCTGCTCCCAGGCCATTTCCTGTGGGCTCTGAGCGGGCAGTCCCAGCCCCCCGGGAGCCTGGGGGCCTTCCTGACAGTGTGGGATTCGGCTGTCAGCCCTTTCCTTCCTGACTGTGTGTGTGTCATGGGCGCCAGTGGGCAGTCCCTCCCGTCAGTCGGCGGTAAATGGGTGTTTACGAGGAAAAGCAAAGGGTAGGGACAAACTGGGCTTCAGGCCTCATCTGACGTGAAGTTCATTAGTAAACTCTGAGCTCCTCGCGATGGGGCTTTGTTTAATTTCAGGACGGGCTCAAATGTCTCCTTCCTGTGACTCTGTCCCCAAGTCCCCAAAGGGAGAGCCCTCCTGTAGGTTCTCCCTGTACTTTTGTTGTCAGGAAGGAGTCTGTGTGGTGAGGTCTAGTGTGTGAAAGCAGAGACCAGCGACAGGGGCGTTGTAAGCTCTGCGTGCTGGTGGAGCAGAAGGGCCCAGGCTGACACTGCCGGGAGAGCCTCAGGGACCCTGGGGGAGCTTTGAGGGACACCTGGGCTTTGCGTGTCTCTACTGATAGGAGGACCTCAAGGGCCAAAGACACCCAGGAGAGCAAAAGCAGGGATTTGGGAATGAGAGGCACCTGGAGGAGGGGGAGGGAAGGGCATTTGTCTTGTTAAGAAGGAGAAATGTATTCGAGTTATTGAAATTTATGTGATATATTTTTTAATCACACTAATTCTGTTTTTAGACATTTAGATTGTTCTACCTTTTCTCCACTGTAAGAAATGCTAATTAAGCTGGCATGACCCCGTACCAGTGAAAATGTTCAAGTCAAAGACAGCATTTTGTGTATAGATTTGAGATTTTAAAAATAATTGAAATCAATACTGGGATGTCACAGATGCCATTCATATTTAACCGCCGCCCCCCCCAAAAAAAAGGAGAAACAGCCAGACAGGTTCCTGGGACATCTGTGTGTGTGTGTGTGTGTGTGCGCGTGTGTGTTTCTCCATCCACCTCATCTGGCTCACGTCAGAGTAAACTCACTCTGGGCCCTTCTAGAGGTTTACATCAAGAGGTCTTAAGGGCTGAGGTGTGACCCCACTTGCACATCGTCAGGTCGGCCTGACACAGTATCGGGGATTCTGGCAGAGGACGTGAGGCTCCTGGGCCAGAGACAGAGGCAGTGCGTCCCTCCCATGATGGCAGCGGGCAGCATCTGTACCGGCCCCGCAGGGTGACGCGAAGGCCCAGGTGACACGCGCACACGTAGTGGGTTGCCTTGTAGGAACCCGAGCTTAGGGAACATGAACGTTGTCTAAAGTGCAGTGTATTCGTTTGCTAGCACTGCTGTGACAAAGCTCCGCAAACCCAGGGGCTTAGAAATGTACTGTTCCACTGTTTCGGAGGCCAGAGGCCTGATACCAGGGTGTCACCACTGCTGCTTCCTTCTGAGGGTCCAGGCTGTCCCTTGGCTGCTGGGGCTTTGCTGGCCATGTTCAGTGTCCCTGGGTTTGTAGGAGCATCACCCCGATCTCTTCATCTTCACGTGGCATCTCTCTGTGTGTACGTCTGCGTCCAAATGTCCCCTTTATATAAGGGCACAGTCGTATTGGATTAGGGAGCCCCTGTTCTAGAATGACTCCAGCTTAACCAATGACATCTGCAAGGACACCTCACATTCCAAGGTGCGGGGGTTGGGATTTCAACCTGTGAATTTTAGGGAGACACAACTCAGCCCATAACAGACAGCAAGCATGAACCTTTGTCTCTGGAGGGGACAGTGTCTCTAATCTACGGGACAGTGTCTCTAATCTACCGGACAGTGTCTCTAATCTACCGGACAGTGTCTCTAATCTACCGGACGGCAAGCATGTTGGCTTATTGCTCCCAAGACAGACACTGTCTCTGAATTTCAGGCCATTCCCTCTACAAATACCCTTGAAAAGATATTTCAGAACTAAGGACCCTTGGTGCCCATGAGGCTCACAAGATAAGCAGAAATAAGATAAGCCAGAGACCCAGGGAGAAGTGTCTCCTGACAGTTTGTTATCAAGCATTCAATTCTAATTCTCATTTCTAATTCCAAAATCTATGTACCGTTCAAGGCATACGTTGTAAAATGCCATGTGATGCAACTCTCCTTATTTAACCAGCAGGAGTGTCATCACGGAGAATCAGGGAGCAGCCGTTAGAATGACGAGACTGGTGTGTATTTATTGGGAAGTTGTTCACAGTACGATAAGTGAACAACGGAAGCAGCAGTGGCTCTGTGTCTCGTGCTCCCGGTACTTCAGGGGCTATTCTAAGCGCTTACTGTATGTACCACCTCATGTAACCCTCCCAACAAACTGGCAAGGCAGGGGCTGCCATTATGCCCATCTCACCCAGGAAGTAACAGAGGCACAGAGGAGTTAAGTTATCTGCCTAGGATCTGCACAGCTAATAATTAACAGAGCCAGCATTCAAAGCCAGGAATTCTGGCTTAAGAGTCTGTGTTTTAACCTCCGTTCTGCGTCGCCTCTGTCTAGGCGAAGATGTATGACATAATATCACATTGTGAAACCGCATCAGCTGTATGTTTACATATAGGCTTATGGAAAGATCGAGACTAAAATTTTAAAAGTGATTGTCTAGAATTAGAGACACCCTTTCCCCTCTTTTGCTTAATTATATTTTTATACAATGAAAATGAGTAACGTTTTATGGGTAAAGTAGTTGTTAGAGAGTGAAACTTTTCTTAAGGGCAAAGAGAAGACGGCATTGACCCCCCTATAAACACCTTTAATCCCAAGGCAGGACGAGGATCTCTACTGCACGGCTCATTCCAGTTCTTCTGTGAAGTTCCTCTTCCACAGCTGAAGGGTGAGAAGAGGACTCAGGTTTTCCCATCGTTTCCCGCGCTTTCCAAGCCCAGAGATCTGTTCTCTGTCTCAATGCTTCTGGGGCTGCAGCAGATTCCTCGTGCGCGCTGGCCTGCACGACCGTCAGCTCGCAGGCCGCTTCTCTGATCGCTCGTCAAATAAGTCATCGATATTAACGCATGAAGTATAAAGAGTAAACAACTAAACACAAAAGAAATTGTGAGTTTGTTTGAAACATGCATCATTGAAAGAGTCCCAATCTGGAACTCAACTATGGTCATCATTGGATTAATGGTATTTTTCTTAGGTATGATAATCTTATTGTAGAAACATTGGAGTGTGTCCTTATCTTAGGAAACACATGCAGAAATATCTGGGGTGAAGGTCATGTTAACAATTTATGTCCAAATGGTTCAACAGAAAAAAGAGTTTCTATAGGCACATATAGACATAAGAGAGGAGCAAATATGACAAAGTGTTAATTAACAACTGCTGCATTAAAGCACATTTTTCGTCAACTTTTCTGTAGACTTGAAAAGTTTTTTAAAATGTTGCAAGAAGAAGAAGCCTCAAACATTTTCACAAATGAGGCCCAGTTTATCACCAGAAAACAAATTCTTACCATAGTCAAAGGATTCTAGACCATGGGAAAGCCTGGAAAGCCCCCTGGTTAGTTTTATAAAGCTGGGAGAACCTTAGCATCACCCCACGATCAAGATAGTAAGTTCACCCATTGACGACATGTTTTTGAATGCCAGGATACAAGGCTGAGGCCCACAAGGTGTGGCCTGGGCGCCGGGGCTTCAGACACTATTCAAAGGGTCAGCTGAACAAGGGAGCTCCTGCAGGGAGGCTTCCCCGCAGGAGTTAATCAGACCAGGGAGGCAGAGGGTGCTGGGGAGCCGCCCCACCTGGGACAGCCCAGGGCAGGAAGAGGCACAGCCTGGACGTGGCGTGTGTGTGGACAGGGGAGACTGCAGCTGGGGGGCAGGCAGGGCCGGCCCCCAGGCCACACCCTGGATGTTGTCTTTATTCTGGGAGCCACTGAAGGGAGACCAGCCAGGCCAGGTCTGGAGTCTGCAGAGGTGGCTAATGGCAGGTTCAGGAGGCCCAGAGGGCGTGGGAGATGGCTGAGCAGAGGCAGTGTGGGACGGGGGTGGCTGGACCAGGAGTGCGGGGGGCAGGAGGCAGGAGTATTTGGGGGTAAACTCAATGGGACTTCCTGAGGGAGGTGCCAAGGATGAGTCCTGGGTTTCTAGCCTGTACCCAGGATGGGGTCTGCTCTGAGTGGGGAGCATTGGGACAGTGCCTTTGAGATGCCGGCGGGTGGGGGATGTCAGGCGAGTAGCTGCAGATACGGCCCGATGCTCAGCACAGAGGTACAGGCTGTGTCCCCTGCGTCCGGGGGTAAGACTGAGCCCCAGGGGCCTGTCTGGGAAGAGAGCGAGGAGAAGAGAAGGATGTGGTATGAAAGCAAGCATTCCAAGGGCAACGCTGGGCGGACTCGGCAGTGTGTTAGAAGAAGGATGCACCACGACCCCGTGTGCTGACCCCAGGAATGTAGGGATGGTTCAACATTAGGAAGAGAGCTTGTGATTAATTCCATTGACAAATTCAATAGACAATATGTGAAATCATATCAGTCGAGGTGCAGAAGCATTTGAGAAACTGCAGCAGCCCTTCCTCCTCTAAGGAAAAGAGGAAAAGAGGAAAAATCCTTTAATATGATAGTGCTTCCAAACTCTACTGTGATTCAAACTCTACTGTGATTCCCACTGAACTCAGGAATGAGAAAAGCTCGTCATTGTCACTGTTTCCAACATTGTGTTTTTGTTTGTTTGTTTGTTTGTGTTTGCGGTACGCGGGCCTCTCACTGTTGTGGTCTCTCCCGTTGCGGAGCACAGGCTCCGGACGCGCAGGCTCAGCGGCCATGGCTCACGGGCCCAGCCGCTCCGCGGCATGTGGGATCCTCCCGGACCGGGACACGAACCCGTGTCCCCTGCATCGGCAGGAGGACTCTCAACCACTGCGCCACCAGGGAAGCCCTCCAACATTGTTTTGAAGGCTCTAGTTCATGCCATAAAATAAGAAGACAGGCTGGCACACATATTAAAACAGAAGGGCCAACATTATTTTTATTTGTAGACAATGTTTGTCTAGAAAAATGAGAGATTCTAAAATCACTTAGTAAATTTAAAGTTGTTAGATACAAGATAACTGTACAAAAATGAACCAGTTTTCTTTTCTTTTTTTTAATTAATTTTTTTGGCTGTGTCCCACGCAGCTTGTAAGATCTTAGTTCCCCGACCAGGGATCAAACCTGGGCCCTCGGCAGTGAAAGCACGGAGTCCTAACCACTGGACGGCCGGGGAATTCCCCCAATTTTCTTTATACTAGCAATAATCAACGACAAGTGGAAATGGGGGGATTATGTTCATGATGATGATAAAATCATAAATAAATTTATAGGATATTTACTGGAATGACTTTATAGAAAAAGTACAGGATCTCTATAGTCAAAACTATAATTTTTTTGATGAATTTAATTCAAGGTTGGAATAAACAGAGAGATACACATATCCCTGAGTGGGAAGACTTCATATCATAAAAATATCCAGTATTCTGAGATTAATCTATAAACTTATTGCCATTCCAATAGGTATTCCTGTAATGCTTTTTGCTCATTTGTTCAAATTTCATTTGAAAGGCAGAGATGAGAACCAGTCGTTTTTAAGGTCATATGGGACAACACGTGAGAATTGCTAATACATTCTTGAAAAGTGAAAACTAGTGCTTATATCCTTTATCTGTCTGTATGAACACTTATTATAAATGCTGTTGTCAAAATAATATGCTGGGAAAGAAAAGAGACAGAGGTTAGTAGAACAGAGATTAGTGGAATGGATCCAAGTACACGTAGGAGCGGAATCCACCATAAATGTGACATTTCAAGGTGGTAGGAAAGGAGACGTATTTAATAAATTGCGCGTGCATAGCAGCTTTCCGGAAATAGAGTTCAACTCACTGCATTCCAAATATGCAAGACCACACTCCAGAAGGATAGAGAGTTACAGAAATACAACCGCAGAAAATTCGAAAGTCCTTCAAGACCCACAAGTCTTAAGGAAACTGTTGCTGATTAAATAAAGAATTTAAGTAGCTGGCAAAAGACAAAAGCATCAAAAGGTATCAAAAAAAAAGCATTTAAACCAAAGCATCATAAAAGAAGTGACAGGGAGAAAATATCTGCAGTAACCCCTTAGCAGACAGAGGGTTACTAGCCCTAGTTATCTACAGAAGCTGCTTGTGATAAGAAAGGCAAGCTCTCTTCTTACTCAGTAACCTGATGAGACCTCCCTTATCAGATCACCTTCAAAATGGAATTCTAGCCTGCATTTCCTGCAGACAGTGGGTGTCATGTGCTCCTCGCCAGGTGAGTCAGCGATTGATGGGAGCACGGCTGGGCGCCAGGTGGGAGCCCAGCCCTGGAAGGGGGCCTGGCCCAGGAGCAGTGAGCCTGGGGTCGGCTGTCCTCACTGTCCAAGCTTGCCAGGTCCTCCCAAGTCCATCGAGACTCACGGTCACATGCCAAGTGTTCTCTTCTGTTCCCCAGAGACATTTCCAAACATCCTTAGAACAATGGTCATTAAATACCTAATTATGGCAGATTTCAGAGGAGTGTTTGTGCCTCTAAATGACTAAAAACCACTGAGGTTCCACAGTCTGCGTAAGTGACAGGTTAGTTTAATAGAAAGACCAGGGGATTAGGTGATATGTTTTTCTAATCTAAAGTTACCATTTCAAATTTCTCCTTTACCTGTCACTTCTCCCCGTTTTCCTGGAGGAAGCAGCACCCCTGGCTGGCATACAAGCCTCTCTTCCGGGCTGAACAGCTCCAGAGAAGTGGACACACGGTGGAGAGGGGCAGGCAGCACCAGTTAGGCAGCATGTGTTCGGGGACCTTCTCGGGAGGTTTCCTATGCTTTCATTCGGAGGCAGTTAGCCGGCCCAGGATGCGCTGGCATTCCGGCTTGCTCTTCCCGGGACTTCCCAAGAGGGAAATCCCATCTGTGAAAAGTTCGCGCAGCTTCTGAACAGCCACACAGATAGGGGCAGGGTCGTGCTCTGTTCTTCTCACACGCATTTGTCTTAGTGGGTTCTGGGGACGCATCTCTGTGACGTTAGTGCCTGTGATGTGGGGAAAAGCGATTTCCACGGCAGATGAGCCTGGGGAAACTGGGATAGAAAGCTGTAAGCAGCTTTCTTTGTTGCCAAAGGCTCAGAGGCTTCCACTCCTGGGCGCCTGTGTGTCCCCAGGGAGGGACGTGGAATCCCTCTACCCTGGCTGAGTCCCTCAGAGCCGTGTGACTGGGACGCGTTTGCAGAAATGCTGCTTCACGTAAACTAAACCCAGCACGTAGCTCACAGGACGTCCCTGCCGTGCAGGGCTTAAGAGGCACGTTCTACAGATGTGGAAACAATTCAGAGCATTCATGTGACTTGTCCAAGGTCACACGGGAACCAGTCTAGAGAAGGGGATTCTGAGCTTTTCTCTGCGTTCGGGCACATATTTCTGTAGCTTTAAAAACGAATAAATTTTCACTAAAGACCCTTGTTGACCGTCAGGAGTCTGACTAGTATTACTGGGTCAAATGTACTAGAAGGAAAACCTTTTTGGAAGGGTTCCAGGTAACATAATTTTGATTTTTCAAATCTGGTTGTTAAAAAACAATACATGATTTTATTTTTATCAACCAGTTAAAGGTCAGCAAGAGACTTGGGGGTCAGAGGTTATCAGCCATGTGGCAAGGTCAGCAGGAGTCACAGGGACGCTGCCTGGGTTGGTGGCCCTGCCCGAGGGGCCACCTGCCCATCCTGTGGGAAGTCACCTGTCCTTCTGACCTGCCCTGCCCCACCCAGGGCCACCGTGACCCCGAAGTTCTCATCAATTGCGAAAGAAAAGAGAAGAGGTCAATTTGTTCAATTTAAATTCCTGTCCCTTCTCCAAGACCAGGCCTTCCCTCTCTGGGGGGACTACGTCCTTCCTCTCATCAAACGGTGTCCGTATCTGTACCGTGTGTGAGCATCTCACAGCTCCTGGGGTCCCGCGGGGTCAGAGTCTCCTTCCCTACCCTGTGGGTCCGGCCGGACCCGGGTGGGCAGGGGCCCTGGGGCATGGGTGAGGGAGGCCCCCCCCAGGGATCCCTGGTGCTCTGAGGGGGCAGGTGTAATTGGGGCGTCACAGAGTTTCTTCATGTGACCCCAGAAAAAGAGACCCTCTGACTAGGATGTAAAACACCTGCGTGTGGACAGACAGACGGAGGGACAGACAGCAAGAATCTGTGGAGTCACAGCGGCTGTTTTACGGGAAGAGCCTTTCACATATGCTTTCCGTGCCTACAGCCCCCTTCTCTCTGTCTCCTGTCTCTGTCTCTCCCTCCCTGTCCCTCCCCCTCCCCCCAAGCCCTAACCCCAGGGTCTGTGTCCTCCACAAGCCCCTTCTGTGTCAGACCGGCCTCTGCCCACACCTTGGAGCTGGGGCTTCCCGGGGACAGCTTGGGGTTCACAACCATAACGCTGCCTCTGAAACGAGGAAAGGGTGCCCTTTGGGGGCCTGTGAGTTCTCTCCCTATCCCCTCTCCCTGGTCTGTCCTTGCACACTCAGCGGAGGGGTTTTAAAAAAGAATAATCACACTTAGTAACTACCCGGCCTGGAGCAGCGTTGCACGTGGACCGGTCGCCAAGGAAACGAACCACCCGCCTCGCGGCCACGCCTCTCCCCGGACGCTCCTGTCTCCTCATTAGCTGTTGCCCTGAAGGACTGACTTCCCTCCCGAGGGAAATTCCTGAAACCCCGCTGTTGACAAACCCACACGCCCTGGGGAGGGCTGGGCACCAGATAAAAGCCCTGGGCGGCCGCGTGGGGACCGCGGCCAGCTCAGGACCGCCCACCGGCTCTGCTCCCTCCTCCCGGCGGGTGGCCGGAGCTCCCGTCCTCTGCCCGCGGTGGGCGCGGGGTCTGCACCCAGGGAACACCAGCGGGAGTTTTCTGGTTTGCTCTCAGCTCTCCCGATGATCTATTTCTGTCTTTCCTTTGGGAAAAATGCGCTTTGCCAATGACTAATCTCGGCCCCGCCGAGATGTTATCAGCTGTCACCTGCAGGGCAGGACCACAGCCCAGATGTAAGTGAGATAGAGTGAGGCTGCAGCCCGACCTGCCAGTACCACCTGAGTCCCGTCCCCACCGGGCGCCGCTGTCCCTGCGCAGGCCCCGGGGATGTGGCCACCGCAGTGACCGCCGGGGCGAGGCCTCCCTGGAAGGGGCAAGCCAGGCGTGCGAGGAGCGGGTGCCTCCCGGTGCGGGCGTGTGTGGAGCCCCTGGATGGAGCTTGGGAGCCGGGGCCCCTCATGTCTGACCTGCTGACTCTGTGCGTCGTGCTCCTGGCCCTGGCGACCCCGGGCCGAGGCGCCGGGAGATGGGAGCCCTGCACGGGTAAGTGGGGGGCACGGGGCGGAGCACGCGCGGGGGCCGGGAGGGGCGCCGGGCGTGCGGTGCCACTTTCTCAGGCCGAGTCCAGGTCACGGTGCTGAGTGGCCACGGGAGCAGCGGCAGCTGGACCAGGAGGAGGGACAGAAGGTTAAAGGGGGCAGCAGGGCGCTCAGGAGAGGAATGCCAACAGGGTGGGGACTCCTTGCAAAGGGTTACCCTCCCCCATCCCAGGCCCTTCACAGTACTTACCTGCTGGGCCTCCAGGAAGGCCTTACACCTGCCGGAGGAATGAGGCCCAGCGGCTGGCGGGTCACTCGTCCGCCGTGGACAGAGAAGCCAGGGCTGCACTTGGCACAGTGCAGACCCGCCGCTGGGGCTGGGCAGTCGTGTCCCGCGAGAAGAGGGGCACGTGGGGCCGGCCCCAGGCACGCAGACCCCCTCCAGCGGAGAGCGGAGTCAGAGGGGAGATCCCATCCCCTTCTCCTTAGAAAGGCCGAGTTGACCCGCCAGTGACCACGACATCACGTCTCTCTGCAGTTTCTACCAAGAGACTTTATTTATCCGACCTAACGCTGACAGACAGAGTAAAGGGGAAATGAGACCGGAAGCTAGAAGCTGAGCTCGGGGATGGGAGTGAGCGATGCGCGTGTGGGCCTCGCCGAGGGTGGTGGCGCTGAGACGGCTTTGTGCGTGGCCCCCGCTTTTGCACTTTTTAATTTGCAAATATCTCGTTCTGGGCTCCGGGAATCCTCCCGGGTCCCCGCGTGTTATGGCCCTTTGCTCTGACGGCACTTGGTTCCCAACGATGTGATCAGGAGATGGACCATGGTGACCCAAGTTTGGAACGCTGACCTGTGTTCACACCGGAAGGGGGGCTCCCTAAAAATCCCCAGCCCCCCAGGGAACAGCCAGGCCGTGCGGGTGGAGGGGAGCAGCCCCCGGGTGTGTGCTGGGAAGGAACACCAGGGCCCCCAAGGCCCCTGCACCTGCTGCGGTCACAGCCTTGGGATGCGTGATGTGCGAGCCACACAGAAGCCAAGGCCACCGGTAGCCCTGAAACACCGCCGCCCCCACCCGGCTTTGAGCGTGGAGGACACGGGGTCTGGGGCACAGCACCCGACCTGCGTCGTCCGAGCACTCAGTGTCTCCCAGGTGGGGTGAGTCACAGACGTGTATCTTCGTGTTCCCTTCAGCACTGGGAACAGAATCAACTTGCATAGTAATAATAAAGGTTATTTATAAAGCCCGCCCCCTCTCCCCTGAAGGTATGCTGCAAATAGTTAAAAGATGACCCAGTTATCAATACCGACAACCAGGGGGAAAAGATAAAAGCCAAGTAAATAATGTTGAACTAAATTTGGAAGCTCCCAAGACACTCGATAACGGCTAGTCAGGACTCAAATAGTTACAGGTCACTTGGATCGCATTTGGTTTTGAAAAGCACAGGAGGTTCCACCGTAGGGTTTGTGCGGGTTTGGATTTCACTCTCCCTTAGCCCTGCTCCTGGGTCTGTGGTGCTGTGTGTGAAGTACCTGGACCTTGGCTGTGACGACCTCGGGTTTTGAAGTCCTGTCCCCCTTCCCCAAGCCCGTCCGAGTCTATGACCATGAGACAGCAGCCCCTACAGGAGGTCGTCTGGACAGTTTTGCCACTGAGGAAGTTGAGGTTACATCTCTGCCCCGGGTCTGGTGCAGACCCTCTGATAAGGGCTGGGGCCTGGGGCGGGCCCTTCTGCACAGGGGCATCTGAGGACGGGTCAAGTCTCAGAGAGCCTCAGCTGACCCTGGCAGGCTGTCAGCACGAAGAGGCTGCGGGGGGCAGGTGGGAGGCGCAGGCTGGGAAACCAGCCGCAGCTGCTGGGCCAGCCTCAGGGCGGGAGGGTGAGGAGGTCTGCAGCAGAGAGGCCGGGGCTCCGGGCGCGCAGCGGGTGTGTGGGGCGGGTTCCCCTGGGTGACTGTGGCAGGCAGGATCCTGGGGCCTCGCTGACCCCAGAGCCAGCCTGGGTCTTCTGATACTCGGACCCCTCCGCTGCTCCCGCAAGCCGGGCCGGCTGCCCCGGGACAGAGGCTGAACCAGGAGTGGAAGACCTTCAGCTCCCACACAAAGTCCACGACTCCGGGGGGCGTGATGTGCGTGGTGCCAGGAAAGTGGCTGGGGGTGTCCTACCAGGGGGCAGCTTGGTGGCCTGAATTCTAGACCCGGGCTCTTGGTCAGGGAGTGACCAGCCGCTGTGGCCAGAGAGCCTGCCGTCCACCCCCGACCCAGCCTGGCCCGACCCAGCATTGTCTCCACGTGGGCGGGAGGCCAAGGCGGAGGGGTTCTGTGGAAGCCGTAGCGGGGGCAGCTGGACCCCAAGGCTGGGTCACTGGCGGGGTGCAGGGGGTGGGCGCTTGGAGCGGGGTGACCTGCCGTGGGGTGTCAGAACAGTGTCCTCTGTCACCCCGGGAAAGTCAGAGGCAGCTCCGCAGCCAGGGCTCAAGGCCGTGCCGAGGCGTGGGAACCTGGTGAACGTAGTACCCTCAGCACCCCCTTCCTTCCTTCACCTGCTCGACGCCCCTGCAGGGAAGGCGCTGCGCCCGCACTGTCACACTGCAGCCCGGTCCGTGCGTGGGCAAGGCTCTCGGCAGGTGTGGGGGACCCCGGGGCGGTCAGGTGGTCACACCTGGGCTCTGGGGTGGAGTGCATCCCTGGAGCTAGAGGAAGTGCCCAGGGAATGAGGGGCACAGATCTGCATTACAAAGCTAGTTGGGGTGTGAAGGCTGCAGGCAGGTGGCCACTGAGGGGCATGGGGCTGCGGGGGGAGGAAGCCCTTCTCCTCCCTTGCTGGCGCCTCCCAGGAAGTCTTCAACCCTGTCCTTTGGACTCTGTTAATGGAAACGCTGCAGGAAGGGCAGTGCTGCCCAGGGAGTTGGGGAATCCTGGCCACCTGGAGAGGCCTGCATGCCGGTTCCCGGGAGTCCTGTGTGGGCATGACGCCCCCTTCTGGGCTCAAGCAGCCGCCAGCAGGGCCGTGAGCAAAGCCAATGAGCAGTTTGCAGTTAGGGAGCTGCTTCTAGATCCCCAGTCAGCTGTCCTCTGTCCACGTGTGGCTTCCCACCCCGCCCTCGGTGCTGGGGGCCCCCGAGACTGCGTCCCAGCCGCCCCAGCCCCAGGCCGGCGCCCTGTTCAACACCAGCTTCATCTGAGCTCCACACCCCAGGTGGCCCCTGGAGCCACTCTGCGTGGGCCACAGGAAGGAGAGGCCGCCAAGGGGCGGGTCATGTGGGGACCGAGGCTGAAAGGCCCACCTGGGCTGCTTGACAGTTTTGCAGGGCTGGAGTGTGGCTGGCAACTGGAGACACACTGTCAGCCTGACGCCATTTCCTTTTAAAGAATTCTCAACCGTTAAACCAGGGTGTTGTTTGTCTGCACAGAAATTAGGAAACCAAGAATATTCTTTCTTTTGTTTGTTTTTTTTGCGGTACGCGGGCCTCTCACTGTTGCGGCCTCTCCCATTGCGGAGCACAGGCTCCGGACGCGCAGGCTCAGCGGCCATGGCTCACGGGCCCAGCCGCTCCGCGGCATGTGGGATCTTCCTGGACCGGGGCACGAACCCGCATCCCCTGCATCGGCAGGCGGACTCTCAACCACTGTGCCGCCAGGGAAGCCCAAGAATATTCATTTTTATAATGCAACCTCATACACTATATGCTGGTTCTTTGGTTTTGATTTTTAAGAGTAAATCACAGATTTCCAGGAGGTCTTTTTCCAGGATAAGATCTAGGAAGCCACCAACGCACGCTTCGGGGTTTGGGCTGTGTTTGCAGCCGGACTCCCCCATCTCTCCCTCCCCGCCACCCGCCATCCTCCTCCCCCCACCCCGGGGGGATTCTGCGCTCTGGGCTTACAGGGACCTCTACGTCTGTGTGGGGTGGGGATGGGAGGGCACCCACTTGTCTCCCCATCTTGAGAGTCTGGGGAGCGACGGGGACGTGGCCCCTGGCTGTCACCCTCGGCGTCCCAACCACACATCTCTGCCTTTAGGAGGGTCCGGGCCGGGGGCTGGGGGCTCCCCGAGCCTCTCGCAGACCCCTCCTCACCCAGCAGCCATGCTCACGCTAACACCCCCACGTGACCCCACCCCCAGCCCCGAGCAGAAAGCCTGAAAGCCGGTTCCTTCCCGCGGGTGTCGGTCCTCGGAGGGGCTGGGGCTCGGGGTGGGGAGCTCACTTTTCATCCCACCCCCAGGTCGGGGCATGGTGCTTTGGGGACTTTGTGGGGGTCTCCGGCGAATCCACTCTAGTGAGCATCTCTGGCACTGCCAGGGGGTACTTACCCGCCGCTGGGAGGTGCGAGAGGAAAAGGAGGATGCCCACCCCGCCTCCACGGTGACCCCACGGTCGGTTTGCAGCCCGGAGAGCGCTCCCTCCGCCCCCGGTAGGGCCTCAGGTGACGGAAGGGGGAAAGGAGGTGACCCCGAAGGCGGGAGCTGCCCACCTCTGGGCGGGGCGGTGTTGGGGCCACAGCACGGGCCTCGCTGTCGCCCCTGCCGGCCTGGCGGGACCTAGGGGAGCGCGTGGACCGGGTGTGGGTGTCTTCCTACGACGAGGGGAAGGCGGGGTGTGTGCGCGCGCGCGCGTGGATATGTGAGTGTGCACGGGTGCGTGAACACGTGTATTAGTGTGAGTGCGTGTGCGCGCCCGCTCGCCGCTGGGAAGAAGCCGGAGGACATCTACCCAGGTGGTGAAATTCGGTTGTCTTTCTGGCCCCGCGCTTTTCCGCGGTTGCTGCAGCGGGTAACCGAGGGAGACGGGAAATTCTTCCAGGCCGCGGGCGCGGCGGCTCGGCAGCTCCACGTGGCGCAGGCGGGCGGTACGGTGGCTCCGGGCTGGGGCTCTCGGGGTCAGCGGTGGCCGGGCTTGGGTGCCGCTGCATGGGGACGGAGCTCAGGTGGGCGCTCCGGGGCCCCCTGCGGGGGTGAACGGCCCTCCCCGGGATGCCTCGCTCCGCGTGTCGCGCGTCGGGGGGGGGGGTGTCGAGCGCTGAGCTTGGGGCGCCCCAGGGAAGGGTCACCCGTCGTTGGCGACTGGCCGCCGCCGCCGTCCGCGTGCGCTCTGTCCCCGACGCAGCTGGCTCCATCCAGGGTCGGGGGCTGCAATTCAGTGGCCGTGCACTTGGGCAGGACGCGCTGCACCTTCGTCTCCATAACTAACCCCGACGCAGCAGCTCCCAGTGAGGGACGTGCCCGGGACTGCCACACCCGGGACTGTCACCAGCTGCGCCACCGGCATCCGCCGGCCCCGCAGAAATATGCACAAACGTTCTGTCCCCATCCACCTGAGGCCCGCCGCTCCCCTTGTTAATGCCTTAATAAAAGAGCCCACGCCTCACTACATCATTACAATTGTTTATTTTATTTTATTTTTTTGTAATTGGTAATGATAATGGGCTCCCCCTGAAATCCGGAGTATCATATTTTATGCAGTTAAATTCGTGCTTCTGAGAAGGGGCCTGTGGGTTTCACTAGCTGGCAGAGGAGCCAAGGCGTACAGGAAGCTGGGGCGCCACAGTTCACTGGTCTCTGGGATGGGGGTGCTGGTGGGGTTGGCATAGAAGAGGCCCTGGTGGGCAGAGCCCCAGTGAATCTTCTGGCCTCTGTAATAGCTGGGGGAATTGATTTCTCACACCTTCTCCTCCATACGAGGGTCCCAGGAGGCAGGGGCAGGGTCCCCTAGAGAGTGGTGGGGAGGGGCGGGGCCCCAGGGGAGGCTGGGTTCAGGACTCCCACCTCCCTCTGCAGCCCCAGAATGTAGGAGGAGGGCCGTAGGGCGCTAGTCTGTCTGTACCCATTTCCACCACCCAGTTCTAGTTGCAGGAGGCCCCTACTTCCACCGACAGATTCCCTGAGGACCCCCATCGGGGGATAGTGGCACTGGAGAAGCCAGTCAGGGAGTCTGGACCCGGTTCTCCAGGGGAGACCACCGGAGGGTCAGGTGATCTCTCAGACCTGCGCTAAGGGGGCATTCACTGCTGACCCCCCTCCTTCTGGGGAACGTCTTGCTGGAATTCATGGCCTCCTGGGAGGGAGGGAGGGGTCACGCCAATAGCAGGGTAGGGTTAAGAGCTAGAGGTGGCACTGGGGGGAGGGTGGAGGTGGGGGGAAGGCTGGTTAGGAATGAGGGCTGGCCATGGGAAGCTTGGGGCTCCAGGAAACATGGGGGCCCCATCCAGACCGGCCCCAAGGGTCACCCTCAGGCCCCAGAGTGTGGGCCCTGGAAGTCACCTACCTGCTGGCCTCTTCCCCGCCCAGCCGGGAGCCGGGGCTGGGGAGGGGGCGTCGCCACTAGTCTACGTGGCACAGACAAGGCAGGTTGGGACATTTGAAGACTGAATAAAGCTCACAGTTTGGGGAGGGCTGGAGGGACAGGCGCAGCTGGTGGTCAGCAGGAATGCTCCACTCGGCGGCGTCCCAGGAGGCCAGGAGCCAGCGGGGCCCCGCCTTCTGCGCGTCCTCAGGCTGACCAGGGAGAGCCAGGCCGGGGGCAAGGGTCCCTCTCGCCAAGGGGCCGCTGGCCAGGCGGCGTTGGCCACCACAGCCTCAGACACACAGCACAGCCACCCAGAGCCGCCCAGAGATACAGACGCAGGAGTCGAGGGCCTCGGGGCCGACGGGGTGGGCCTCCAAGCTCAACTCCCTTGGAGATGCTCCCAGGGCATGGCTTGGCTCCAAGGCTGCTGAGGCCGGAGTTATTTACCTCAGCCCCGGGCCCGAAGCAATGAAACATACAGCCAGCTGGGGAGGACGAGAGTTTATCCACTCAGCTCAAGACCCCGTGAGGGGAGGGGAGGCCACACAGCAGCAGGAGGGGCAGAGACGGAGCAGAGCAAGACCCCCAAAGACTAGGGGGGAGAGCGGTGTCCATCGCTTTCAGGAGAAACCTGGGGACCCGCAGTAACAGGGGAGGGCTGTTTCAGGTTCATCTGGGCCTGATCCGGAGGCTACGGATGGGCTAAGCCCTGCTTGTTGGGGTCCTAGGTCAGCTCACACTCATGTAGAGGTGTAGACCACAGCTCGTGCTGGGTTAAATCCTGAGGGTGGCTGGTGGCTGGCAATGGCAGAGGTGGGGGTGGCCCATAGCACCTGGCAGGCCCTGGGGGGATGTGCCGGTCAGCTGCGGGACGTGCCCGAGGCGGTGACGCAGCAGGCGGGGCAGCAGGCGGGGCGGCAGAGCAGGGCTGCGGAGGAGGAGGGTCTGCGGCAGGACGAGGGGCAGGGGGTGGGCTGGCAGCACGAGGGGGCTGAGCAGGGGGCGGCCTCACAGCACACGGGCTCGCAGCACGCAGGTGTGCAGCAGACAGGTGTGCAGCAGACGGGCACACGGCAGGCCTGCTGGCAGGGGGAGCAGGTGCGGCAGGGGGGCTGGCAGCTAGACTGCCAGCAGCACGAGGCCGTGCAGGGGCCGGTGCAGGCTGGTTGGCAGCAGGGGCTGGACACGCAGCTCACTGGGGCGCAGGCGAGGGTCAGGCAGGGGGCCGGGGCGCAGCCGCTGGGGGCGCGGCAGGGGGGCTCGCAGCAGCTCTCTGGGCAGTCGTCCACCTGCCAGCAGGAGCCGGTGCAGGAGTCACAGGGACCAGGCAGGCAGAGCCGCTGCCGTAGCTCAGGGCGCTGGAGCAGACAGACAGGGTGGACACGGCCATGATGGGGGCGGTGGCTGGAGGAGGGTGTGAGTGTGAGTGTGTGTGTGTGATGTGCTCGGCTGTCGGCTTCACCCCCTCCTGGGTGTGTGTGCTGTCCTGGGGAGGCTCCACACCCTCCCTTCCTGGTTGCTGTTGAGAGCAGGTCCACAGAAGAAGCGGCAGCTTTGTTGTTCCAGGAGTCATTGCTCAGCTCACAAAACTCTTGAAATTGGCTTGCGACGCCTTTACTCGTTTTTGTCCTAGAAAGAAACCCCAGGGTGGAGTGTAAGTCACCTTGCCATTTTAGGCGGTGTTGCAAGTCGGGGCCGGTGTCTGTGGGCACTGGGTCCTGGCCCCTGGTCAGGGTGAGCGCTGCTGGGGTCCCCCAGCTGGCTGAATGAGGTCATGCGCCTCTGTGGTTGGAAGGTTAGAGAGGAGGTGTATCTGGGTTCTAAATAAAGATAACGTGAGTCATGCTTTGTAGGCAGCAGTAACAGCACAGCAGATGGGTCGGCTCACACAACAGAAATGTATCTCATAGTCTGGACGTCCGACGTCTGAGGTCAAGGTGCCGGAAGGGCTGTTTCCTTCCAAGGCTGTCGGGGAGAGCCTGCCCCAGGCTGTCTCCTAGCTTCCGGGGCTTTTCTGACAATTCTTGGGGCTTCTTCGCTTGTAGAAGAAAAAGCCCCTTCACAGGGCTTTTCCCGTGTGTGCCTGTCTGCGTCCAAAGTTCCCCCTTTCATAGGGACACCGATCAGGTTGGATGAGGGCCACCCCCAAGACCTCATTTTATCTTGATCGTATCTGCAAAGACCCTATTTCCAAATAAGGTCAGATTCACAGGTGCTGGGGACAGAGGCTGCAGCGTCCCGTTGCGACACAATTCAGCCCCTCATGAGTGCTCTGAGGCTGACACTTGGCCAGAGTCTGGGATGGAAGGAAAAGCTGAGCAGGTGTTGACTTTCTTCTTTCTCAGGGACAGTAGTGAAGGGCGGGGTGCAGGCAGCAGGTGGCCTGACAGGTTTGGAGCACACCCAAAATTTCTATCAGTCCAGGCGTGGTTTGAGCTCATGGGCTGATTTGTTTTTAGTTTATTTTATGGAATAATCCTAAAAAGAGTACAGAGAATTCACGTATGCCCGTCTCCCAGGTTTCTCTAGTGATAACGTCGCACAGAACTGTAGATCAATTACCAGGTCTTAGAAACCAGCATTGGGACATTACTGTTCACTAAGGACAGACTTTTCGGGTTCACCAGCTTCCCAGGAGTGTCCTCCCTCTGTTCCAGGACCCCACGGTGCATTCGTCAGATCTCCTTAGTTGGCTCTAGTCTGGGACAATTGCTCACAGTTTCCTTGTCCTCTGTGACTGTGACACTTTTGAAGAGCAGTGATCAGGTGTGTTGTGGGCTGTCCCTCAAGTTGGGTTTGTCTGACATTTTCTTATGATTGGACTTGGACTGTTACATCTAGGGGAAGAATCCACAGAACTAATGTGTCCAGTGAAGCAGGGGTGACTTGGTGTTGTTATGTCTAATCACTGAAGATGTGACTATTTCTCCCTTTGTAATTAATAAATGTCTGGGGGAGATTCTTTGAGACTTTGCGGATATCCTCCTTCTGCTGAAACATGTGCCCTGTGGTTTCCACGCCCTCTGGGGATCCTGCCTACAGCATGGTGACTACCGTGTGCTAATGGGATTTTCTACTTCTACGGCCCATCTCCAATTAGTAATTAAAATTCTTCTCTAAGGAAGAGAAGATATGTTTATTTGTCCTGTTATGGACTAAAGAATGTTAATTTTATTGAGTTCTACTACAATATTATCATTATTTTCTTGTTCAAATTGCTTCACGTTTGGGACCATGACCCCTCTCTGACATTTTGACCACTGGAGCTCTTTCATTTGTCTCTTGGACCCTTCCAGCACCCCTGGAGTCAAGCGCTTCTCCAAGGAGCCCAGGTCCCTTGTAGTGGATGGTGGCATTTAGAAACCAAGGCCCGGAGCTAGGTGTGCTCACTGCCGCTGGGTGTCGCTTCCCCCATGCCCTCTGGTGGAGAGAGCAAGGAGGTGCATGTATGTCAACTCACACATGCCTGAACTTGGGGGAACGCCTTCAGTCTTCCACCGTTAAGGATCATGTGAGCTGTAGTTTTTTGTAGATTAGCTTTCTCAGGCTAAAAGTTCTCTTCTGTTGCTGAGAGATTGAATGGATGTTGGGTTTCCTGAAATGCTTTTTATGCATCTGCTGAGGTGATCATATTGTTTTCTTTGTAAGTCTGTTAACATGGTGAATTACATTAACTGATTTTTTAAAACGTTTTATTTTGAAATAGTTACAGATTCACAGGAAATTGGGAAACTAGTATAGAGAGGTGCTGTGTACCCACATTGATTGATATTTGAATACTGAAGAAGTCTTGAGTCGCTAGATAAACCCCACTGGTTGTGATGTATTGTCTTTCTGGCATGTTGCTGGATTTGATTAGCTAATGGCTTGTTCAGGATTTTCATATCCGTATTCGTGAGGGTATTGGTCTGTAGTTCTCTTTCACTGTAACATCTTTGGCTTTGATAACACGGTTTTCATCGTGGGAGCTGGCAAGCTCCTTTTCCATTTTCTACAAGAGATGGTGTAGAGTTGGCATTTTGTCTTCTTCAAATACTTAGTAGGAATTTCTAAGAAACTGGAGTTTTCTTAATAGATATGGAAATGCCAGTTATTTGTTTCTTCTTTCATGAGTTTCGGTAGTTTTGTCACTGAACCAAACTTGGGTCCGCTTGCGCAGGCACAGTAAAGCCAATCTACTGATGCCGAATTGCGGTGAAGGAAGGCGCGGTGTTTACTGCAGGCGCCAAGGAAGGAGTTCGGGTGGCTAACGCTCAAAAGGCCTGAACTCCCCAAAGGCTTTCAGGAAAGGGTTCTAAAGACAGGGTGAGGGAAGGAGCTGTGGTATGTGATCATCTCGTGATTGGTTGGTGGTGAGGTAATCGGGAATCGATGTCTTCAGCCTGCTGGTTCCAACCAGTCTGAGGTCCACATGCTTGTGGTCAGCATGCAGTTAACTTCCTCCACCTGGTGGGGTTTCAGTATCTGTGAAACAACTGGGTGGTATGACTCAGGATATTACCTACAGCCCTTGAGGAGGAACTAAAGTTCTTTGACTTTGTTTAATGACTAAACTACTATTACTTTGTCTTGTTGACTGAATTTTCTACACTTTCTCACTTCTCTGATTAAATTTATTCTTTGGAACTCAGGGAAGGCCTAGGAGGCTAAAGTTTTTCTACCACCAAGAGGCAGGTGGAGGACATGGGGGCGATCTGTCCCAGGAAGGCCCCACAGGGTCCTGCTTGGTTACAGTTTGTGCCTATCAAGGAGTTGGTCCATTTCATCGAAGGTTTTGAATATACAGGCCTAATGTTGTTTGTAGAGTCTCTGCGTTATCCTTTTAATTTCTTTTTTAAAAATTGATTTTATTGAAGTATAGTTGATTTACAATGTTGTGTTAATTTCTGCTGTTCAGCAAAGTGATTCAGTTATACACATATACATACATTCTTTTTCATATTCTTTTCCGTTATGATTTATCACAGGATATTGAATATAGTTTCCTGTGCTGTACAGTAGGACCTTGTTGTTTATCCATCCTGTATACAACAGTTTGCATCTGCTAATCCCAAACTCCCCATCCATCCCTACCCTGCCCACCCCCCTTTGGCAACCACAAGTCTGTTCTCTATGTCCCTGAGTCTATTTCTGCTTCCTTTTAATTTCTGAAAAATGTTTAGTGATATCTCATTTTTTGTTCTTGACACTGATACATTGTTCCTTCTTGTTTTTCCCTGTCAGTCTGGCTAGAAGTTTATCAATTTTATTGATCTTCTTGAAGAACCAGCTTTGGTTTCAATGAACTTTTCTTTTGTTTCAATCACATTGATTTCTGCCCTTCTACTCCCTTCTCCTCACTGGGGGTTCCACTTGCTCTTCTTGTCCAAGTTTCTTCAGTGGAAGCCTCGATGGTCGGTTTGGTACCTTTTTTCTTTTCTCACGGAAGCACTTAGGACCACACACCTTCCTCTTCTTCAGCTGCGCCCACACATCCTTTCCGTGTGGACCATCCTGGTCTACAATCTGAGGCTTTGAAGGAGCTGATCTCCATGGCCCCTTTCACTCTGATTCCATAATTGCTGATTCATACACAAGTTTTAAGGACAGTAGAATCAGGGGGACTCACGCGCAGCAGGATTTGGGGGCAGCTGAGCCTCTGGGTGCTCAGTGTTTGGACTTCCACTTTCTGCAGCCCGAGGCCACCGCAACCGGATTCATCACGGCTGTTCACATTTTCACTCGCCTGGAGGACGTGCGATAAGGGAACACGGAAAGCTGGCTGGATCAAAGAATGATCGCGCCCAGCGGGAGTGAGCATTGTTTTTACTGCAAAGGTCTCTGAAGTCGGGGCCGCCCCCTCATCCTCGCCTCGCCCACCTCGGCTCCTGGCAGGAGAAGACGGGGAGGAGGCTCTTCAGATCAGTGGAGATGCCTCTGTGGGCGGGACCCTGCGGGCGGATGAGCATCCCGTCCAAACCCCCTCGTCCCCGTGCCAGCCCTGCCGCCTGCGTGGCGCGCGCACTATCTCCGCCTCCTGAATGTCCATGTGCCTGGTGAGGCCACGCAGTTGCTGGACCCAATGGAGAACACTTGAGGAGGGTTCGGGTTTGGAGCTGGCAAGCTTGGGCCTGGAGATGGACTGGTTCTGCTCCGCGTGCGGACTTCTCTGCGTCAGCTGACTAAGGCGTCCTGGACGCACTGTTGCCTGTTTATGTGAAGTGAATTCACGCCAGCTGTTTACCAGCGCGTGGATCTCACTCAGGAGACCTACTTGGCAACCCTGGCAGCTGCCCTCTTGCAGGCAGACACAGATGCTCTCACAAATTCAGGGGGGAAGTGACAAACTGACCCACAAAGTGGCCCGGCGCAGGGCTGACCGCACCATGAGGGGTGGGCAGTCCCTCTCCC